AGAGAGAGAGAGAGAGAGAGAGAGAGAGAGAGAGAGAGAGAGAGAGAGAGAGAGAGAGAGAGAGAGAGAGAACCAGAGCAAAGAAGATGACTCACCGCTCCTTCTATTGGTCTGGCTACTTGCGGCGCGCACGGCGAACGTGCCGGACATGTGGACGAGCACCGTGGCGAGCACGAGGAGTGCCCTATAGCGGTTGTAGGACCTCATGCCGTCCTTTTTAGCGGACGGAATCGGAAAAGCGAAACGGAAAACGACGACGGTCGTCGGAGGCGAATCTCTCAGGACTTTCTCACCGCCTCGAGCGGACTTGCTGAGGCACTGGCTCAGCGTCGACTGAGACGTACTTTGTGCCGCCGCTCTATCAGCTGGACCGTCACTCCTCTCGGTACGTTTCACACCGCGGCCCCGTAGCGTAGACTCTCCCCCGAGTAGGAACTACCACCACAACCGACCACGGAACCACGAAACGGACTGACGGACGTGTCTCTCGGACCAGGTTGTTACTACCATCCCTCGCAAAACGTCCGGGCTCCACCACACTCTTTGGTATCCGAACTTAATCCTTGCGATGGTACCGCGGTATATCCGGACACCAACGGTTTTGCTCTCTTATCCACGCACCCGGACCCGCACACCTATTTAAAACCTATCGCTCCACCTCGCGCTCCTTACCATTGGCTCCTGGCCCCAATTCCTTGCCCAATGGTACACTCTCGCGCGCGTTCACCTCCTTTTCAGATCGACGGTGGCGACGGCGACCACGAGAGCTCGGCGAGAGAAAGAGAGGAGAGGAAAGAGTGTGTATGTGTGTGTGTGTGTGAGAGAGAGAGAGAGAGAGAGAGAGAGAGAGAGAGAGAGAGAGAGAGAGAGGCTACGGACGTAGCTCGGGTGGCGAAGTAGTAGGCAAGGTGTAGTAGGTAGCGAATTCCCCCGATTTTACCAAGACGGTGAATACCATATCGTCGGGCACGTCCGACGGCAACCGCGTGCCGCGCTAACGAACTTCGCGAGCTCGCGAAACGGTGACGTCGAATTTTCCCCCCTTTCTTGTGCTCGCGCGCGCCGATCGCGGTCGACGAAGGTGAAGGGGGTTCTTAGGTGGGGTTCGCGTGCGAGCCAGCCAAGATATCGGGCGCCGCTTGATTCCGCTCGGTTCTCTTTCCGCGTCTCTGTATGGATCGGCTCGCAGCTGCTCCAGGGTATACACCACAGAACCGACCGATCGTTCGTCCGTGTTTCATTACGATACCTACAGGATAGAATTATAGGCGCTCATTCTTAGGAGATATCAGGGAGAGAAAATACACGTGACTTCCGCAATGGCCTTCGCGAAGGAAAATATTTTTGCTCGGGAATTCTGGCACGGCCGAGGTGTCAGTGAAAATCGCAGAACGCTATGTAACGGTGTTCTGTTTTTTATTATATATATATATATATATATATTATATATTTTTTATTTATATATATATATATATATATAAATAATATAGGATATTTTTGTTAATCCGCGGAACTTGTGTAATGTTTTGCTCCGCACGATAAAAAGAGAATCTCAAATCACAGATATATAATATTTATTATTATAAAATATATGCTTTTGAAAGTGACTGGAGGATTTAAAATAATCACGTCTCTGTTTTCGCTTCTCAATTTACAAAAAAGGTGCGTGAAATTATCAAGATGGATTTTGCAGAGAAATGCGGCAATAAAACTACCTGAAAAGTACATGCGGCAAATAATTTTCGAAATGGCCGTGTGGGTGAACGTCACCCATCTAGAATCAAATCCACTCAAGGCTTTCCGAGCCGACCACGTCGTTTGGTTGCGAACGCGTTTACGTATGTACGTGCCCACATCCACCGGCACATGCTGCACAATATGCTGCCCCTAGAGCGCACTTTCCAGCGCCTTTCGATTTCGCCCGCGCCAAAGCTATTTCGATAGTAATCATCCCGCCGACACGCCCAAGTCTCGGATACCTTGACGTACCTTGGCAATGAGCAACGATTCACTTGGCTCTTAGATCGACTTTACCTTGGCACTTCCCTTTCTAGCGTGGTGTCGGATACTTGCGAAAACCGCGGCCGACTTTCGGATTGTCAGCCGTCCGATCTCACGGTGACGTTTTTGAATCGCGTACGCGCAAAACCGACAAGTCGCGGCGTTTTTTCCAATCAACTCGATCACCTTTAAGCGTCACGCTGATTTTTTAGATCTTCGCTCGATAAGCACAAAAGTAACGTGAAATATGTTACTGTGTAAAACAGAAGTTCACATTTTATAGAACTATGTATTTACATGTTTCACAAACAGTTGATAATAATTAATTCAAATCACTGGTAGTTGTTTGGAAAGTAACGCAACCACCTGTAAGATTTATCGAGTGGTAGACGTGCTCAAATACCGATCTCTGCGGGGTTAGCCTTCAAGCGTCAAAACTTACCACGCACTTTGATATTTAGATCGAAATGCCAAAGTTCCCGATCGCTCCTTCTATCACTTTCGGAAAAATTCTTCGAATCAACATCACGAAAATGATTATGCAATTCTAATTAATAGCGCGAGAAACCCAACAATCGCGTTGCGCGCGCCTTCGTGATTGATCATCGTATTTAATCATCGGATAGTCGCGGTTGTCTGGTTGAATAAGACCCACTTCGGTGGCAATCTCTAATTGTTTCGTCGTCCTTCGGATCTTATTAAGCAACGATAATTCGCGCAATGCGGAAACCTGCCACGCTCGTCCGTCGATCCGGCCGTGTCGAAGGGATTCGTTGCGGCAGGACAGGTGTAACGTTGTGTATTGGCGCGATTCCCAACCAGTTGTACTGGAAACCAGTTGCACTTTCCCCCTGATGAACAACGCGCGTCTTCTGCGACGTTGTCAACGAGAACAAAAGAAAAGAAAAGACGGGCACGCACGAGAAAGCGATTCTATCAGAGACCTGCTATTGATAACGAACCTGATTGTGTAAAGTTATTACAAAGGAATTCCTTTGTAATTGACTAAAGTCACGTGTTGTTTTTCCACTCCTCCCTCTCACTATTTTTTGATTTTGATTTTCTCGCGTTATTTCTGACATCTCTCTAATGTGTATTATATGATTTGTAAGACGTATATACTTCGCTATCATCGCGATGACAGGTTGTGTATTACTGACACAACACGTTAAAACAAAAACAATAATAACGTGCGCGTAGCGCGCGCCTGTGTTTTGCTAGTATGTGTAAAAAAAAAAGACTTTCTTATATTAGGTTGATTTTTTGTAATCTTTTTGTTTATTTATTTGACAATTAGCTCGGAACTAACAACTGCGCAAAAATACTAGATTATTCCGATAACGAATCTTTCGATCAAGACGAAAACAGTCGATTCGATCGCGCATCTCTCGCCAAGCGCACCAGTGAAATACGTTCGCGCGGACGAACATGCAACGCATTCTTAATGTCGGAAAAATCGTGCGATGATTTCTTTCTCCGTGAAGATTCTCCCGTGATTGTGCGGTTTTCGTTCGTCGGACGCGCGCCATTCGTCGCCTCGACCGGACGCGGGACGGTGTAAATTGAAAGAGAATCTATTAAGCGAGCGCGCGTGCACCGAGCGGAACCGATTGCAATACGTTTGGGTTGTGCCTTATAATATGTGTATCGCATTTTTCAGCCGATCGGGTTTGAAAACACGCGCCGGTTTCGTTCGGCGAAACATGTCGCGCGCGAGCTGGCGTGTCGGTGAACGGGAATCGAGCGAGAAACGCCGATAAGCTTCGATTGCTTTCCCGATTTTTGTCGCGCAAATCTTGCCGCGGCAAGGACGTCGTTCGAAGCTGTTTTGCTTTTCCACAGCAAAATCGTTCGACACTGATTACTGGCCCCCGGTGGCGAAGAGTGTCAGAAAAGAAAAATAAAGATTCTTGATCGCAAGAGCGCATAAGTAACTAACCACATAGCCAGTAGGAAACGCGCCAAACGCGATGCTATTCTTTGCTTTATCGGAGAATGTATAATGCGTAGAATGGAGAAAAGTAAGAAAAATGAGCGATAAAATTTTAATGGTCTTTTAATTGTTGGTTGGCCGCTTGAAATGCAATATTCACTGCTCGTTAGATTTGTTATACTGCGGAAACCGAACTAATTTTTTAATAATGTATACATTTTAGCCGTGCGTTACGAGCGAATCGTTCTTCACGTACTGGCACGCGATAGGCTTTGAATTCATGAATTAGATCAGTTTCTTTTGCGAAAGAAACAGCGCGTCGCAGTTCTTATTTATGAAAATAATAGTACGCGCGCGCGCTTACTGAATAAACAGAAAGCTAATAGGCTAACTTTCATCAAGACGATATCATAGGCGTGAGCTAATCGTTAGCGAAAACGTCCGCATTTAAATTACCGCTGTTGTATCTCTTAAACAGAAAAAAACTCTACAAAACTCTACAATGAAAAAAGCAAATCTACAAAACTTTATAATCTATAAAGAAATCATTTCGTCATTAATAATTTTAACGATTTTATTATTCTAACAGCTGTTTTTTACGCACTACTTTACGCGATATTGTTTTATTTTATTTGTTTATATCACGATATCGCGTTACACATCTATCAGTCGGTTGTTTGAATAACTGATACGTATAATAAATAAAAAAAGCGCTTATTCGCTGCGCGGTTAATAAATCTTTTAGCTTCATTTTTCTGCAATTAACTCGGGATAATAATATGTTATATGCATCGGCTCGCACTTATTAAGCAAGCGTAATGTAACGTATCTATGTACATGATGAATTATGTAACGTGTGAATTTACACTTACTCACGACCGTTTTATACACGCAACTTTGTGTTACCGTGATAATCGTAATTGCGTTATTATCGGAAAATTGTTCGCAAAAAACAATTGACGCAAACAAATCTGTACAAAACAAATTTGTTACGAGATTTTTCGTATTAACGCGTATTCGCGAAAAACTGTGGACACACGCGCGCGCCGCGCGATAATCAGCGAAAAAGAGGCGAGAAACGGATGAGGAAATCACAAAAGCGCGTTTGGAAAAATTTGCAAAGCTGATTACGTTTCTTACGATCTGCGTTGCGAGAAAATAAAAGCGAGCAGTTAAATGAAATGTACACGGATATGTAGCGGCGCTACGAATCAATTAGCACTTTCACTGATCCGAATTTCGTGAAAAAGTTATTTCGCCGTCTCGCCTCGCTTTATAGGCACGCCGGGTTTTTGTTCGCGTGAAAGTTTAGTTTGCAATGAAGCAATTTTTTTTTTTTTTGTCTTATTGAGGCGCGCTTAATTGTTCGTCTCTCGGACTCTCGCGCGATGAGAAGAAATGTCTCGTACGGAAGAAAGACGTGAGATAGCGGTGTAAAATTTACGACATCCACTTGTATTTCAACCAGTGTTCATTCTCATGAACTGATAAGTGATGCAGTTAAACGGTAGAGTATGAAAAATAGAAATACAAGTTTTGTAAACGCAAAAGTTACATCTTGAAAAGACATACAACGTAAACACTATAAGTAAATAATCAATTAAACGATTTAACCAAGTAAGAATTTCTGTAATAACATTTGTTTTTAAATATCCGACTTTTTGCAAAAAGTTAATTAAAAAAAAATAAGAAAAAT